GAGAGGCAGGAGAGAGGGGCAGGAGAGACAGGAGAGAGGCAAGAGAGACAGGAGAGAGGCAGGAGAGAGAGGCAGGAGAGGCAGGAGAGAGAGGCAGGAGAGGCAGGAGAGAGAGGCAGGAGAGAGGGGCAGGAGAGAGAGGCAGGAGAGAGAGGCAGGAGAGACAGGAGAGAGGCAGGAGAGACAGGAGAGAGGCAGGAGAGAGGCAGGAGAGAGAGGCAGGAGAGGCAGGAGAGGCAGGAGAGAGGCAGGAGAGAGAGGCAGGAGAGGCAGGAGAGGCAGGAGAGAGGCAGGAGAGACGCAGGTGAGACACCCAGGAAACGAGATGATACTGCAGGAGAGTTTTCATTCAGATAGTAGCTAGTAATAAAAGTACAGCACAAGTACTTGCATCAGGATCAGAACCAGGATCTTACGTGTTTGTGGAGGAAGGCTCGGACTCGGGGCAGGTCCGGGTAGAAGCTGTTCCTGACCACCATCTGCAGCCAGCGGATCTGGACCTCAGCATTCAGACCGTCAAACAGGGACGAGTAGCAGCCGGACAGACTCGCCATCACATCTGAGGGACAGAGACAGGTGAGACCTCACCCGTCTCATCACACCCGTCAGTGACTCCCTCAGTCAAGACGTCTCAGCAGCTCAAGTACAAATGTAAGGTACTTGTACTTTACTTGAGTATATATGTTCTGTTCCTTTCCAATTCTAAATCTCAGACTCCAGCATTAATCAGTATTCGTATCAAAGTACCCGTGTGAGTAGTATTAGTATCAGTAGAAGTAGTAATAGAATCAGTAGTAGTAGTAGTAGTAGTAGTAGTATTAGTACCCGTGTGAGCGTACCGTGGGGCAGAGGGGACAGGTCCAGCATGCGGTCCAGGAACAGGACGATCTGGAAGGTGCTCCAGGCCGACAGGTCAAAGGTGGAGACGGTCTTCTGGTCGGGGGCGGAGCCGCTCCTCCACAGGTCGCACAGATCCTGGACCGGCTGGGTCAGAGCGCCCCCTGCTGACAGATCCGGCTCATACAGAGGAGGGCCACACCCGCTGAGCCAGCGCTCGAACTCCAGACCTGACACACACACAGACAGGAAGTGATGTCACCGCTTCGGTCAGCATCTCTGTGAATGAGTCATGAATGAGCCCCACCCCCACCCCCACCTTCTCTCTGGGCGACGGCGGCGTCCTTCAGGTCCGGGAAGTAACCCAGGAAGTAGTCGATCAGGTCCTGAGCCACCACGCTCTTAAAGTTAAACTCCGAGATGTAGTCCTGAAAACACACACACACACACACACACACAGTAACACACACACACAATGACACACACACACACACACACACAGTAACACACACACACAATGACACACACACACAATGACACACAATGACACACAATGACACACAATGACACACAGTAACACACAATGACACACACACACACCGATATGTCACCTGATCACATTCATCACGTCCTGCATTGACTTTGTATGTAATCTGCTATTAGCTAGTTAGCTCAGTTAGCGTGTGTGTGTGTGCGTGTGCGTGCATGTGTGTGCGTGTGCGTGTGTGTGCGTGTGCGTGTGTGCGCTGACCCTCAGGAAACAGTCGAAGCGCCTGACGTCTCCACAGAGCTGCGACAGGTAGGAGACGAAGCAGAAACCTTTCTCGTAGGTGAACAGGTTCATCAGAGAGCTGGGGTTCACACCTGGAGCAGAGAGAGAGGGTCACTGTGATGTCATCTCACCTGCAGGGTTCAGTCTGTGTACAGGTGTGTGTAGAACAGGTAGCTCAGTGCTGGCCCCTAGTGGCAGCACACAGACACGCTAAGTGCTAACTGTGCTAAAGCAGACAGCATCTCAGCTAAGCTA